CTATACTCAGTCATTTAGCTGTACATCACCGAGCGGAGTGGCTTCAAAGGCCAGTCTCCCTTGCGTTGAAAGTTGAGACATGACATGCGTGTGGTGTCGTCTGGGGCAAAGACAATTGCGGACATGCGGTGGACATGGAGAATTCAATTCAAATCGTACATCGTTGGTTATACCTGCCATTCTTCATTACATCGTCTGGCGCACCTCGCGCAGATAACCCGACTAGGCTAGAAAGAACGCGCGATCATCGGGCCTTCGTGCCCGCACCCACCTCGTGGAGGTAACTTCCAAGAAGCTTGGTCTGAGGGCCAAAGTGTTGTCAACTCGTAACAAAACAAGAATAGAAGAGGAAATTTTACATACCCCTTCGATAAAGTTTGATGTGTCTAGTTTTTCATTCGTCGAACTATATTGATCACAGCAAGTCAGTAATCCTCGTTGAGAAGAAAAAGGTAGAGACGTACTGAGCGCCATCGTCACCGCGACCCATAGGAAGTAAGAGCACGTTCACACCGAGAGCCTCTGCGAACGTGAGTGTCACGGGGATCGAGCCACCCTCGCGCATATAGTCCGGTGCTTGTTTGTACACCGCCTTGAAAAATGAAAATGGGTATGAGTTGGTATTGGTTCGCAGCAGTTAAGTTACCTCTGTCGCACGATGTGCAGCTTCGTAATTCCAATGTTTATAGTCCTCGACCCAGGGCTTTCCTCCGTGCAGACTCTCTATATTGATGCTGTTCTTGCTTCCCAGTTTCGCAAACTCGGCGGACAAAAACTTGAGCACGAGCGGATCAACGTTCTCCGGTGTCTGCGGGGGAACGAGGCGAATGCTGAACTTGCCCGACACCTTGGCCGGAATGACCGTCTTGGCACCCGCGCCGTAAAAGGCACCCTCGATACCGTGGAGAGAGAGCGAAGGGGATCGCATGCGTCCCATCAACGCGGATGCCTTGTCTTCCGAAATCGTAATCTTGGCACCAGCGGAAATCTCCACATCCTCGAGGCCGTAGTCAATGTTCCTGTAGAGCTGCCTGCAACAAGTGACAAGTAGAAGAAGGCGGTGATCGACGGTGGTATAAGTGAATGCGTAAAAAAAGGGGGAGAAAAAACGTGCCTTTCTTCCTCGTCTGGAGGCGGTACCATCTCGTCAATACCGGGAATGAGTATGTTGCCTTGCGGATCAACGAGCTTGCTCATGAGGATGATGAGGTCGGTCATGGGTTCATGCACCATGCGGCCAAAAGCACCTGAGTGGAGATCCCTGGCCGGACCTGAGATGATGACCTTGTAGTACGAAATTCCGCGGAGTCCATAAGTCAATGCGGGGGTGCGTGTATTGAGCCAGTAGTTGTCGGACTGAAGGGCGTGCGGTAAGAAGCAGCCGAGGGGAAGAAATGTGGTGTACACACAATACAAACTGCGTCAACGCCATCGAACCAAGAGTCCTTTCCTTTCTTGACCTCGGCAAGGATGAATTCATCAAGGCCTTCGGAGCCAGACTCTTCCATGCCTTCGAAACAGAAACGAAGGTTGACAGGAAGGGGTTTGTTGAGGATATGGTGTGCGTCGAGTACGTTGATCCAGCCGAGAATGGGACCTTTGTCATCGGACGATCCGCGACCGTAGAGACGGCCAGTCTTCTCATCTCTGGTCAGTTGGAATGGCGGGAAGTCCCAGCCATCTGATAATTGTGCCTGCAGATAACGGTAGGGAGGATGTGAGGTCGAGGAGGGAAACAACAGACTGGCTGCACGTCAAAATGGCCGTAAATAAGGATCGTTTTTTTGGCTTTGTCGTCTCCGATCCTCCCCAAGATGGCAGGGGGAAGCTTCAAGTTTTGGCCATCCATTATGTGGGTACCGAGATCAACCGCTTTAGTCTCAACACCGTATTGTCTCAACTGCGTCTCCAAGAAAGACGCCATACGAAAGACATCTTCACGATGAGCGGGATCGCCAGATACGCTTGACTTAATCAGCGTCGGGTCCCGCCAATGCTAAGTGATCTAGTGGGTACCTAGGGATTTCGACGGCGCGAGCAAGGCGCTGGATAAACCTGTCCTTGTTACCGTCAACGAAGTCGAGAAAGTCTGCAGGGGCAGCCATGATATGTAAGAGATGGTAGAATTGGATGGAGTGCTAGTAGACCAGCGACTAGAGAAAGAGCCGCACTTTGAGCCGCACTTTCTCCGCTCGGCCAGCTGCTGGACTCACGCAAAGACCGATTCCAGAGATTTCTCACTTTCACCCTGCAAACACTTCCAGAGTCGCGCGATCCGTTTTGTTTCGCATCCCCGCCTCACGCAGCGTCATTCTAGAACCCGCTCTCGTATCTCCTTCTCTGCGTTCCCGTCCATGCATCTTAGTTCGTCGCTCCTCGCAACGGCGGCACATCGAATCGAACTGTGAACTAAATATCGTGCTCGTCTGCCAGGTGCAAGCAACCCCACAATGTTGGGACGACGCGATGTGCGGTGGTGTATAAACAGGATGTCTCCCGAGGATGCCGCTCAGCGGCCATGCTGTACAAGATACTGTACAATTTGACAGCATCCATCCGTTCGTTACTCAGACCTACTTTCTCGCACATCTACTCGATGTGCTCGTGCTTCCTAATAGAGAAAGTCAACCGTATAAAACAGGTCTCCTCTGTGGCGGAGACATTCTATACCGTTGCCTCTACCTCTAGTAAAGGTGCTCACTACTGCAGTCGACCCTCATTTACTATGTATAATCATACAGCCCACTGTATCGTACACGTTCCTAAATATCCACTCGTCATTTCTTTGACTTGATGAGTCCCTTCATAATATCGAAACTATTGCCATCGGGCTGCAAGTCGATGTACTCGTCGTCTGCACCGCGCCGTGCACTACTTCCCCATCCCGTTCGTTCAGGGATCGTGCGTAGTAAGCCATGGTCATGAGTTATTCCAACGATGCGAACGGGTATGGGCGGATCGACCGTCGTCAGCGTCACGAGTTGGTCGCTATGTTCAGAATTGAACGATGAAGTTTCGTCGTGGATCCATCAGAGGCATAGAAAGCAAAGCGCGGACGGAGCACTTACGAATGCATCCACGCATCAAGATAATCCTCCTCGAAAGGCGCCCAACTACCTCCTCCAGCGACAAACGCTGTCCACAGGCGTTCGAATTCAGTCAGGACGAGGGCTAGCACCGTCTCAGCATCGAAACTTTCTCCCGGTCTGGAGAGCAGAGAGAGCGCCGTAACAGGTTCGGAGGTGCACACGTTAATGCCGCACCCTTTCTCAGACGCCAAAAAAGAAGAGAAGGTTCGTTAGCTTTCGAACAAAATTCCCTAGCAGGCCATCCATGCTCGCGCATCATATGAGAGATACAACGCACCGATGATAACGTCCGCGTTCCCGTCCGCGAAACACATATTGACCAGAACACCACCGACCTTTTTCTTCTCGCTGCCCGCCGCCAAGGGCAAGTCGACATACACGTCATTGGGCCACTTTAGCCGCACGCGCGCACCGCGCTCGGCGCCCAGCACGCGCCCATCACGGCACGCACGGACGATGGCCAGCCCGACGAGGTACTGCACAAAGACAAGACGCGGCGTGGGGATCGCCGAAGCGCGCAACGGCACGCGGACGAGGATGGAGAATTGCAGGCATCCTGCTGGCGAGAGCCACGTGTTAGAGCCGCGGCCGCGCCCTGTGAGCTGGAACGTCGCGAGGGAGACGAGCGGGGCTGGGAGGGATGCCAGGAAGGAGGGGTTTCTACGTTTGTTGTTTCCACAATTCAATTTGGGCAAGCGGAGACGGGTATGTGACGTACCTTTCTAGCATCGTCTGCGTGCTCGTCACTGCCTCACCATAGAACAGAGCCTCGCCCACTCCCCAGCTGCTGCTGCTGCTGTTGTCCACGCCGCTTGTGTGTTCCCCACGGGCCTCAGCGAGGACAGCAAAGTATTTCTTGGCGTCAAATCTTGGTGTGAGCTCGCATGTGGGTAGGGTGTCTGCAGGAAGAACAACGATGATCCGCGGTGCGTCTGAGTCCGCCGATGCCCTTGCCTCCATGACCAGGCGCGCACCAAGCTCGAGAGTCGCAACCTTGTGAATATGAAACGTGTCCACCCTATCCTTGATCACCACCGGGCCTGGATCGCCGGACGACTCGACGGTGGTGGGGAGGCCGAGCCTTTGTAGAACCGTCTCGGAAATATATCCCTTCCCGCGTGGATGCAGCAAAAACTGGGGAAGGGGAGATCTCGGAATGGCGGGTAGCTGATCGGAAGACTCGTGAGAGGTGGTCTCCGGCGGTACAGATAGTTCGAGGGACGTCAATGCGTATCGGAGGAGAGCGAGCACATTTTCAGTGTCCTCGATCCGATCGAGACAGGGCGAGATGCCCCAGAACGCTGCACTTCCTGATCCAACGGGCACCTGGATACCTGCTATATCACCGACGGGCTCCTCCCAACGTCCGCGGATGAAATCAATGTTAGACGCGGCGCGTGTCAGCACAAATGGAACACTGGCTGGCCGAAGACCCGAAAGAATTGCGCCCGTCTGTAAGAGTATAGATGAGGGTAGCGAAAGGTTCGCGACCCCTTGGGGACACTCAGGAACTATAGCAGTGCCCGACCTAGCATCCCACAGACCAAAGCGGTCCCGTACCTGGTGGGGCAGAAAAGTCACGCCGAAGCCAACGCCCAAGACGTGGCCTCCGGCGGAGATATAATTCTGAATGACTTCATGAGCCGGTCTGGGCAGTGAGAAGGGTGCAGGAGGACCATCAGCCGGTAGAAGAACAAGAAGTGCGCAAGAGGCAGTCCAAGGCTGCGTGGCTAAGGCTGCAGGAAGGATGGATTGAACTGTATAGAAAGGTGACAGAACAGAGCGCAGTGCATTTGACAGCTGGTGGGATGCAGAAGAGGCGTATACAAGGACATTCATTACACGTAAGAGGAGGGTCAAAGAGGTCAAACGACAAGAAAAAGTTCCCACTGGGTGAGAGAATGAATCAAGTACCGTCGACGGGGGTCGAACCCGCAACCCCCACCTGCCACCACTGTCATTGTAGGAAGGTGATGCGCTGCCATTGCGCCACGACGGCGTAAAAGCTACTCCCCCTTGTAAAGTTATCAAGCTGCATGATATAGGTTGCGTACAGATCTATCTATCAAGAAAAGTCCACAGTAACAGAAAAACAAGCTTCCGAATCCGAGTCCGTTCTCATGTCCTACTAATCAAATATATGCGACGGTATACACGATTCAGTTTTGATCCTCGATCAGGCTTTTGCTTGCCTTGAGATCAGACTCCACCATTTCCTTGACGAGCGAGTCAAAATCGACGTTGCGCTTCCAGCCGAGTACCCTCTCAGCTTTGGCAGGCCTACCCAGGAGTTGTCTACGTATGGTCATGTTGAGTTCAATGCAGCGAGGTTAAGAACATGTATCGACACTCACTCGACTTCGGCTGGACGGAAGTACCTGGGATCGATCCGAACAACAATCCTTCCGGCTTGATCTTTACCGACTTCATCGACGCCCTTTCCCGACCATCTATGGGAGCGTTTAAACGAACCACTTCGTCTATCATTCGGGAAACCCAGCTTACTCTATTTTCATACCGAGAATTTGGAAGGCCTTCTCGACAAACTCACGCACGTAGTGCATTTCACCAGTTGCGAGAACAAAGTCATCAGCAGTGTCTTGCTGGAGCATGCGCCACATTCCCTCTACGTAGTCACGAGCTGCGCGAAATCAAGTCAACATTGATGCCGCCTACATATATGGACATATTGTGCGGAGATAATCACCGTGGCCCCAGTCACGCTGCGCATCGAGGTTGCCAAGGTACAGGCACGCCTGCTTCCCAAGGCTGATGTCCGCGGCGGCACGGGTAATTTTGCGCGTAACGAAGGTGCGTCCTCGACGGGGGCTCTCGTGGTTGAAGAGAATCCCGTTGCAAGCGAACATGTTGTAAGCCTCACGATAGTTTTTGGTGATCCAGAATGCATAAAGCTTCGCGACGCCGTAAGGGCTGCGCGGGTAGAAAGGAGTATTCTCGTCTTGCGGGACGGATTGAACCAGTCCATAAAGCTCTGAAGTCGAGGCCTGGTAGAACCGTACGTGGTTCTGGAGGCCACAGGTGCGTACGGCATCGAGCAGGCGCAAGGTACCAAGTGCGTCGACATCGCCTGTATACTCCGCCATGTCAAAGGAGACCTTTACGTGCGATTGCGCACCGAGATTGTAGATTTCGGTAGGCTGGACCTGAGCTATGATGTATACGAGATTCGTACTGTCAGATAGGTCACCGTGATGGAGCTCGAGCTTGTTTTTGCCTGTTCCTCTGTAGATCAACATACGAAAAAAAAGTACAATATAGGATCGAGAAGCGCACGCTCATGGTGATCGTGGAAGAGATGGTTGATACGCGAGGTGTTGAAACTAGAGGAGCGACGAATGATGCCGTGTACCTCGTACCCCTTTTCGAGCAGTAGCTCTGTCCTGGTGAACAATATATGGTCCAATGACGGAAGTCACACGAGCTAAACTCAGACACAAACAAGTAAGATCCATCCTGGCCAGTGATACCTACGAAAACAAGAGGTGTTGGTCTGCCAGCAAACCAAGAAAGAAGGGAGGGTCTCACCCGAAATCAGGGCGACCTTGCGTTTGTGCCATTCTTCTGGTGACGGAAGGGAACGCAGGGCAAAAGGGGTAGCACTCGCAAGGGTGGACATGGGATACACTTGCACGTTGTGTAGGGAAGAAAGGAAGGTTATGCACGGTGGGAGATAATAGCGGTGAAAAAGGGGCGTGAATTTAACGAGGTCAAGCCTCAACGAATGCAGTGTCCAACTAGACTGATAGGTGCCACCGTGGCACGATGTCAACGTTGTCAACCCCTGGACTTTCGTCCAAAAGTAGCATACAGCACGAAAAAAATCCTATTGTTCGCTAAACCATCCAGTTCAAATCAATTGAATCACCACGCGGCCATCCCCCTCTCACTCAGCCATAGGTTCCTCCCTCTCAACGCAAGCTGGCCCCCCTTTCTTGTGCCCATTCGTTTCACCATTGTGAACCCCATTGCTGCCCTGCTTCCTCCGTCCAATCCTCGCATCCGTGTCATAATGCTCGACTAGCCACTGGACTGTTTCACGCAATGCCACAGCAAACGGTGTGAACTCGAACCTGCCCCAAGGAGCGACATTAGCTTCTGGTTGGAAGCAGGTTTGCGGAACTGCCCATCCGCGCGGGACGGGTCAAACTAGCAATGCTCGCTCAGGGATCCAGAATCCACCAGGAAGTGAACAAGACTTACGCTGTACTCTCCCTCGAAACCAACAGCAGCAACGACAGCGTCTGCAACCTCCTTGATACTAATCTCCTCATCCTCCCCGACTGCAGGAATACTTCAGGATCACGGCAGCACCAATCGAAACAGGATGTTTACCGGAGAGTATGACAGGTTCAGCTTCGTTATACTCGCGCAGTTGCCATACAAATAACTTGGCGATGTCGTAGGAGTAGATAAACTGCCGAAGCGGTCGGCCGGAGCCGAACACAATGAAAGGTGTGTTATTTCCTATCCGAAGGTGTCAAGTAAAGGGTGTGACTACAAGAATCAAAACTCACGCTTGGCTAGTAAACATTTGTGAATTAATGCGGGGATGACATGCGATTCTTCTAGGCCACTGACGAGCATGGATCGTTACCGTCAGTATGCGGGCGAAGGAACAGATACCATACAAGTTGTCATTGGGCCCGAAAACGTTTGTCGGAATGGCGGACGTAAAGTTGGACCCGTGTTCGTCACGGTATGCACTACCATCCGTCGTCAGAGACGCTGTGACTGATATCAACGAGCGACATACCGGTTAGCAACATCAACCATCCTCTTAGCATAGGCATATCCGAAGTTGCTCTCATGGGGCGGTCCAAGATGGATCTTGGTCTCATCCAGAGGGTACGTGACGTCATCTGGAAATATACACGTCGACAGGCACGAGATCACTTTGGATACTCCGAACTCGTGTGCGAAATGGAGTACGTTGTCATTGATGAGCATGTTGTCGCGGAGGAAGGAGTGCTAAGGAATTCAATAAATCAGAGTACGGTAGGTGCCAGCGCATAAGCCTCCTCTACCTTGAACTGCATGTTATTGTACAGACCACCGACTACGAGTGAGTGTCAGAGAGTGCGTCCATGATAGTCATAGCGATGGTCAACGTACCGAGTGCGGCAAGATGAATAACGTATGTAGGTTTATGTTTATTGAAGATTCTTCTAGTCTGCTCCGGATCACTGTGAAAGTAAAGCTAGAGAGGTACGGATGGGGTGCCCAAAGAGGCTGCAGCGTGATACATACCGCAGATCGGCATCCTTGGACCCGAGGAATACCCAAGCCTCGCCTTCACGTCTTCCGAATCTGGAGCCTACAGGCTCTGTCTCGATAACATATTGTATTGCATGACCAACAAGGCCAGTACCACCAGTGACGAGGACGACGGATTTTGGGAGCTCGACGGGCATGAAGGAGGAAAGGAGATGAATGGTGAGAGCGCAGAACGGCGAGGGCCATTTTACTTTTAACCATCCCTCATACGGATGATGATCTACGTCCGCTCTTCCAAATCGGGTTATGCATTCTCACGTCATGCTGTGACAAATCACTGCTACGGCCGCGGCGGGCCTTCGAACGTGTCTGACACCTGTACGGGTGCCACGTGGAGATAGATTAAATCCAGGACCAGGCAAGGGACCAGGGCGCCTCAAATGTTGTCACTTTCCCAACATCTATTACTCGAAGTACATCGTTCTTTCATTAATTGTGGCCAGCACGCAAGGAAGGGGGGAACATAAGAGCGCGTGTCTAATGACTGCACCCGGTAAACACGGACACGGACATCCCTAGACAGCGCAGACTCCCGCGGCTTCCAAATGATGGGTTTCATATGGCCGAGAAAAGAGACCTTGACTTTCACATGTGGCACCAAGAGGGGCGGGCACTGAGCGGCGCTAAGCGGTACTCGATTGTGCCACTTCTAGCCAGGTAGGCCCGTTTACGTTTGGCCGTGTCAGCTGTCCACAAAACCTGGAAAAAGTTTGACAGCGGTTGCCATTGTAGGAATGGTCATCAAACCTACTGTCTGTCAGTGCTGGGAATTGAAAATCCACTCAGTAGTTGAAATTCACTCTTCTTACTGTAAATCAAAGTCGTGCTAGTTCTGGGAAGTATTTAGCATGCGAGTTGACCCAGGATGTTCTGGCAGTGTCGAAGCTTGAAGGCCAAAGCAGTGGTGGACAAGCGTGCACAAGTGGGAGCTACGTCTACTTGGGCACAGATGATACTGTAAATTTAGTTTGTCAAAGTCGTATAGGTAACAGGAGGTGGCAACATGGGAAACGGAGGGATCCGTCTCGCGTTTGGAGCGAGGGTGACGCCCGGGTGTTGGTGGCGCGAAAGCCACATGGAAATTCCCAGGATTTGGGGCGAGAGGGGGTGGCGACGTGGAAACGGATGGAACCTCCCGGGAAGCTGACAGCCAGACCCTGACCATAGCGAGAACCCCACCGCATGCACGCCGGCGCCGTTGGACTTTTTTGATAAGAACGAGGAAGACATGGGGGAAACGCTGCTCGTCGTCGACCCTCATGGGCACAAACACAAGCCCAACCCGTCGTGTTGGAAGAGGAGGCAGGGGTACCTGGTCATCTCAGGTCCCAGTCTGTTGGCAGAAGAACCGGTGTTCACCGTGATGGAAAACGAGGGCGCCTTGGAGCCCGCGGGTTGGGAACCAGAGTCGACGACACCAGCTTGGCCGTGTCGCTGTGTGGTTCTTAGGTTGAAGACGAGACATTGTTACTGATAGAGGCTACAGTACCGAGTCGCTGGGCCAAGCGCTGTAGCTGGCACCGGGTAATGAATACCCGTAAAGCCGGCCGGTACTGCTATCCGGTATGACAGCACCGATAGGCTTTTCTGCTCCACCAACTCCTCTACCACTCTCCACCAGTAGAAGAGGTTTCAGTACGCAGTAGTATAAAGGCATAAATCACACGAGAGACGTAGGATATCTGTGATGATGTGCTGATTGAC